CGTAGAGTGTGCCTCGCGGAGGAAGTCCCATCGCCGGTGTTGGGATGCCCGAAGGCGCGAAGGATTGTGGTGGCCGGCCTACACTTGTCGTAGGCGTGGGTGTCGGGGTCGTAGATGTGGCTGCGGCCGCGGCTGTGGCGGCTGTGGCAGTGGGCGGAAGCCGAGTTGGCGGTGGTACGCTGGAAGGCGGTCGCCCGCGACCTCGCCTGGTGGGTGGTCGCCCCGGAGGAGCGGGCGTCGGTGGCTTGGCCGTCGCGGCGGCTGCGGCGGCGACCGGGGCCGCAGGGGAAGGCAATGCCTGCGATGGAGTGGGGGCAGATGACAACGAAGCTGCTGCTGGTGGAGAAATAGTAGTGGCCGTCGCCGCACTTGCCGTCGTTGCCGTTGCCGTTGAAGTGGGATTTGGCGGTGACTGCGGCAACGCCTCGGCCTCGCGCTTGGCCGATTGCTTCTTCGTTTTGATGACGTCGATCTCGGGACGAGGAGGCACCACCTCAAGCAAGAAGTCGAGGTTGTCTCCCTGCGCGACCGTTCTTGCTGCCCATTGCCACAGTCACGGCACACACGACGGACACACACAAGGTCAATTCGGCGCTGAAGAAGAAGATAATGGATAACGGTTGAGTACCAACGTCGCGGTAGTAGACCATCTTCCTTCGCTCGTGCTGCGTGTGCTCGTAGGCCTTCTTAATCAACAGCTCGCACAGCAGCTCCTGCAGCAAAGACCAAAAAAAGCCAAGTGGTGTTGATGTATGAGGAGGCGCGTGTGGCGGCGGCCAGACAGAGCTGCGGCAGCGTACAGTTGAGCGGCAGACGAGGAGGGCGGCATCGTTGCTGATGAGCTTGACATCGGGGTCGGTCTTGAGGATGCGCTTCACGCGCGCCAGCGGCAGGGTGTTGAGGCAGCTCTTCTTGGCCTTGGTGCGCTTGACCCTCCCGCTTCGCTTGGCCCCAGGCGCACCCAGATCTGTGCTCACGCTACGCCCGCGCTTTCCAACGCGCTCCTTGCCCTTGATGGATTCGCCTCCATCTTCGTCCTCATCAAGATCGTCCTCAAGATCTTCATCTTCATCCAATTTCATACTGTCCACACCATCGCGTGGCGCATGTTGGGCACGCTGGACTACCACCCCCTCCTCTTCCACAACATCCGCCAAGGCGTCGTCTGTAATCGGATCCAATTCCATCTCGTGCAGGATCTGCAAAACAAACAAAAAAAGATTGTTTTTGAAATCCCGCAAATTCTGGGGGCAGCATTAAAATGGAAATAAATATGTTAACAAGTGAGGCTATGTTAAAAATGTTAAAATATATATTATATTTTTTGTCGTAGAACTTTCGGTGGGGACTCCACAGTAGAACCGCGCCCTTCTTTTCCTTCCTTTCGGACGGCTACTACAGTTTTTGCGCCAAGCACACTTCCTTTGTCTGTCTCCCTCTCTTGCTGCCACGATGATGAGCGTCTCGCCTGTGCTGTGTCGCTTGCTGCTGGTGCTCCTCTTTGTGGGCGCCCTGCACGCCCAAACGCGGCCCGACTTCCTCGACTTCACCTCCTGGATGATGGTAGATGCCTCCCCTTCTCTTAGCGTCTTGTTGCTCCACCTGCTTACCACCTCTCTGCTCCAGGGACGTCCACTACGTCCCGCACGGTGCGAACGAGCCTCTGTTTCTCTCCCTGGCCCTTGATGGGGAGCACAGGCGCTCGGCCACTCTGGGTACGTCCACACTTTCCGCCGGCGGTGACGCCCACTGGGCTGGCTGACCACTGCAGTGGACCTCCTTCCTGCGTGGCGGGGGGAACAGACCACACGAAGCAGCTCACGGACATTGTGGACTCGGCCGAGAGCATCTCCGTCTCCTTCAACAGAACCGTCTGCACAACTGAGTGCTGGCGCGGGTCTTCGTGCCCGAGGAACCCGGACAAGGACTGTGCGGTGAGTACACTGCCGGGACGGTAGGTGGGAAAAAGATAGCTGTTTTCCACCTTTCACAAGACGGGAAAAACCACCAAAAGCCAGCACATTGAGGTCACCTTTTTCCACCTTGAGTAGGTCGAATGGTTGTATTGAAAAAGGTGGACAATTCCATCTTCACCTGTCCACCTCCTGTCCACCTCCTGTCCACCTTGCTAGTCGTCGTGCTGGTTGTGCTCCGCGCCGCTGGTCGCGCTGGTCGTGCTCCGCGCCGCTGGTCGTCGTGCTGGTGGCGCTAGTCGTCGTGCTGGTCGTGCTCCGCGCCGCCGATCGCGCTGGTCGTGCTCCACGCCGCTGGTCGTGCGCCGCTCGCCGGTGTGGCCCACCTGTCGCCCAGGTGCCACCTAACGCGATGGTTATAGAGCAAGCCCGCATGTTGTTGCACGAGGTGGACGCGCTTGGCGACGGTCCATCCATTCCACCCAAAGGGAAGGTAGAACCGTCGCTGGCTGAGCCGGAACTCGAGAAAGCCATCGCTGACGCCGCGCAGATCGCCAAGCTCGAGCTCGACCCACGCCTTCACCACGTTGTTGCAGGCAATGCGAAGCAGACGAGATATCCTTCCGATCACGACACACTGCGTCTCGGACTCGTCGAGGATGGCGTGTCGTGAGTTGTCGATGATGAACCGTATCTACAATTAAATAAAGAATTAGTAATGAGAAGCGAAACACAACACTAGCACACTATCGTACGTTTGGATAGTCTTCGGGAACACGCAAGGCGATCCCATCGCCTGGTCGCAGGAAGTGGCCGTAGTAGTGGGCCGACTTGTGCGAGGTGATGTCGTCCGCTATCTGGACGCCCTCGCCCAGCTCACGGCTGACTGCGTCGAAGAGGTTGCGCCTGCGGTCCCTCGTGATGCTGGTTGTTGTGCCACGAACGCTGAGCGTGTAGGGTTCCTTCCGGGACCCATCCACAGAGCTCACGCGGGGCAGCCCAGCGTATGCTCGGTGGCAAATGACGGTGTCCTTTTGGTGCGTCTTAACAACAAAACCAGAGGTTAGCAAACGTTAAAAAAACATGCAACAAAGCCGTACCTTCACAAGAATTGCACATTCGGTGTTGATCTGGTTCGTCCTATGCCCGGTCATCTTCGCCGCGAGGTGCCGCTGCTCCCACAGGCGCGTGTCCTGCACCCATGGGGGCCCGAGGAAGCGAATCAACTCCGGCCAGTGTTGCGCGACCTCGAAGTTCGGAAATTTGAAGCTGAGTGGCTTCTCTCCGCTCGTCGTCGTGTCGCTGGCCGCCGTCTCGGCCGTCCGCGACCGCTTCTTCGACCGCTTCTTCGACCGCGTCTTCTTTGAGCTCGTCGCTCGCTGCCGCTCGGCAACGCCGCCGTAGAACTTGACCATGAGATGTTTCCATCTCTTGGTCAGCTTCTCGAGCTTCTCGAGGTCGTTGGCGTCGAAGCTTTCCTGCTGCAGGAGGCGGACGATATCGACGTGGATTTGCCAGCACTCGCGCTCCTGCGGATCGCTCACCCGCGACCTGCAGGAAGCTGTCCATTTCGCCTCCTGTCAGCCCCGCCACCACCACCTTGCCCTGCGTGTCGTTGGTCGTGCGTGTGCATGTGTGCGTGCGCGTGCGCGTCCGTTGGTCGTGCGCGTGTCCGTTGGTCGTGCGCGTGTCCGTTGGTCGTGTGCGTGTCGTACGCAATGACGGCTGTGAGTGTTGCGCAGAGAAGAACAGAGAAGAAAGAAAAAGGAAAACGTATGTTTGGATTATGCTGGATGATCTGTGTCTGGTTTGCAAAGCTCTGCTTTCCTGGGAATGGTGGGAAAGCCTTGAACGCCTCGTTGAGCTCTTCCTCAAGCCCATGTGCTGTGCTTGTGTACTGCAAGTGTCTCTTTGAACGAAGAAGAAGTTAATAAAGTTAAAAGTTGTGTAAGGATCAGGTCAACACACCTTGAGAAGACCAAGGTGCTCAATATGCAGTAGACAGATACCAAAGCAATCGTAAAACGATTCATGCATCCAGAGGAGCTCCCAAAATGGGCTTACCTGTTGGCCCCAGCCATGCACCTTTATTTTCTCATCAGCAGGGCCAACCTTGCCATGGACTCCTTTGTTGGAGTCCTTGAGTGTTGCGATGTGAGCGTTGTAGACGCTCCAGTAGTTGCTGTGTCGCTGGGGCCGGTGCACAGTTTGGCTGCCAACCTTGATTGGCCATTCCACCTCGTGGAAGAAGGCTGAGAGGTTGTGGCAGTATTGGCATGACCCCCAGCCGCCCTGTGCTAATCCTGTGATGTGAATAAAACATAAGTTAACTTGAAGAAAGACAAACTGAACAATTGTTGAATGTACTGGCACACAGCGCCTGTGAGGGATGGTCGCTGAGGATACAGTAGATGGAGCTGTAGCAGTGGCGTGTGGTGTTGTTGGCCTTGAAGTAGATGTTGTATCTGTGCTTGAGCAGGCGCATTGGCATGATGATGATGATCTGCAAGGCATTGAAGAGGTTGACGTCCTGTGGCATGAGGCAGAGGAGGTATCTTGACTTGGCAATCTCCATTTTGTCCATTGATGTGTTGGCGAAGGACATGTAGATCCCAACAACACTTCAGAACACATCAATATAAAAAATGGGAAGGATGAGCCAGCAGTCCTTCCACCTTCACCCTTGCATGTGGGCCCTGCTCCACATGTAACTTAAGACAAACATGAAGTTAGTAAGTTAGTATTGAGGGTTTTTGTGGGGTGTTGTACTGTTTGCACTGCTTGAATTGTTTGCAGTTGCACAGGTGCTTGAGCCTTGCACTCCATTTGAAACAGAAGTGCTTGTTGCTCAAGTCTACCTTGAGCTTGTAGTGATCGTGGATCACATTGGTTGGGGACACAAAGTTGAGTGTCCCCTGACTGACATGAGCCCAACGCCATGCAACTGGTGGGTACATCATCTGCACGCAAGTCAATCACTGAAAATGACGAAAACAACAAAAATAATGTTGTTCATGGTGTACCTGACCAGCCTCACTCAGCACATGGACACTCTCAGCAATCATCCCAAAACAGAACAGTGGATTCCAATGCATACAAAGCAGGTCCTCCATTGCATGCTTGGTGGCATCATTGTGCTGCATGTGCTCATAGAGCACCTTGTTCTTCAGGTCCACTATTGCACACTCTACAGCTCCCTGTCTTTGCACTACACACTTGTGATGTGCCTACGTTTTAGAAGTGAACATAGGAGGTCAGTAAGAATAAAGGTAATAACAACAGCAAACGTACCAGAGGCAGATCATGTTCATTAAGCTCTTCCTCTGTTGCTGGACCCATTGGGTCCTCTGGAATGTGTGCATCATCATTGTCATCAGCCCTCTCAGTGTTGATGGCTGCCATGGCCATGATTGCCTTGTCTTCCATTTGCTCATTGTCCTTGTCCTCCAGCTTGTCTCCTTGTGTGTCCTCAACATCATTTATTGTTTCTTTGCTCTTGCTCTTGACCTTGACCTTGCTATTGACCTTGACCTTGCTCTTGACCTCACTCTTGACCTTGCTCTTGACCTTGCTCTTGCTTCTGTCAACCTTCTCTTCCTTGCTGTAGCTGAAAACTCTGTTGCACTTGTTGTTGTCACCTTTGTCTCCCTCATTGCTGGCCTGGTGCTTTCACTTGAGTGATCACTGTTCTGCAGCCAGCTTCTTGTTTGCGCCTGTTAACAAAAGTGTTCACATTAGCTCACAAAGAGCAAAGAGCAAAAGCAAGCAAGCATACACTTCTCTCTGGCTGCCCTGGCATGGCGTTCAGATTGTTCATGCTGCCAGCCTCAATGCAAGATCCAAATCTCACAATCAGCGCACCACTTCTGCCTGTTCATCACCATACCTGTCCCCCCCAAAGCAAATGACTGTTTATTGGAGATTGTGTGAGGGGAGCAAACCAAAGAGCAGGCCAAGTGGATCATGGCCACTGAAGAAGAGTGCATTGGTCATCTTGAAGTAGCATGTGGGACAAAAGAGCTCCATATCTCCTGTCCCTGCAACATGACTGAGAAGAAGGAATTGTAAGATGTACAAAACAAGAGGATATGACAGGGAGGATACCATCTCTTGATGAAGCTGTAGGCTTTGTTGAAGTAGGTGATCGTCCTTGAGCACCAATAAATGGTGCACCTCATGTAGAGGATTTGGCTGCTTGGCTTGAATGTGATGAGGTGATTGATGTGCTTGTTGAAGTGCCAATGAATGAGCTCCTTGGGGCTGTTGTTGATGGTGAAGGCAAGCGCCTTGGTGTTTGGACTGTCACCAAACAGAATGAGCCCCTTGTAGCCACCAAGCACATGCATTGCACATGCAAGAATCATCTCAGCATCAAGTCCATGCACCTCCTGTGTACAAAATACATAAAGGAGGAGCATCAGGCGCACAAGTAAAGAGCAAAGAAAGGAAGGTACCATGAGGAGGCTGGCAGCCTCAGCAACCACCTCACCTTCTTCTTTCTCTTCTTTCTCTTCTTCCACATGCATCTCATATTCACTGCTGTACTGGTCTTGTGCACTACACAAAAACAAATTGAGACAAGAAAGGAGATTTACATACAACACATACCTCAAGGCAAGCATCATCAACATAGAGCTTGCCTCATACTTGTCACAAGCAATCTTCCTTTGCATCTCCTCCTTCATCTGCTTCTGCTTGTATCTAAGCAGATGAAGGAAGGGGTGTAAAGGAAGTGAGTAGGCGCAAAAACATAACAGGAAGCAGGAGGCGCAATTACCTCCTGCAATAGTACATCAAGAAGATTTGAAAAAGGAGCACATGCTCCTTGTCCAGGTCAAAGGCAAAGTCAATCTGGTGTGCAAAGAGCCAGCAGTAGAAGTCATTGATCATGCCATCCAGGTCATTCATGTAGGCATGGTCTTCAAAGCCCTTGTGCACATCATTAAACAACCACATGCAGATAACAGCAACAAAGTACCATTCTTCACAATCACCAAAGTAGAGATGTTGATCATTGACATCAACAATGTCTTGTCAGTCTACACAAAGATTCAGCAGGTACACCTGCAGCAACAACACAACATCAGTAGATTAGCAACACAATCACACAATCACACATACCATCTTGAGGCCACACCATTGCACTACATCCTTGCATATTTGCTTCCACTTGTTTTTACCTGCATAATGATGCAGCCTCCTCTCACAATCAGCCCTTGAGGGCATTAGAAATCAAGTAAATGGGAAAGGTGGATTGACATACAGCAATGGGCATGGCTTGCATTTCTTCCACAATCACCTCTTGCACTCCTTGGGGTTATGATATTGGGCAATGCTGCCATACCTGCATGGATTGCACAATGAACCCAGTGGGGAGAGCAATGGGAAGGAAACATACTCCATTTTCAGGCATTGCAGCTCAGCCACTGGAGAAAGGCAAGATTAGCAAAATTAACAGCTAATTGAAAGCAATTAACACACATACTCATCAAATCATGCACTCAATCATCTGCAGCACACAAATCAAGGCACAGAAGGGCCTGCTCTCTTTTATTTAATTGAAGGGCAAAGCTCTCCCTGCCTCTTGAAGAGCCCTATGTGTGTTTGCTGAGGGTGGTAAGGAAAAGAAGCTTGGTGTGTCCTGGGCTGCTTTCTGTGGCAACTTCTTGTTGACAAAGGAGCATTCCTCAAATGACTCACACTGAGTGGTGATTTTATACAGTTGAAAGTAAATATTCCAAACAGCCTGCAGAGCACCTTCCTGCCATCTGCAGAACCAAGCTTGTGGGTTCTGTGGATGAAGAATGCAAAATATTCAAAGCAAAAAAGTGCAGCAACAAAGAAAATGAATTTATTAAAAAAAAAAGAAGCCATGTCAGCATTTATGGTTACAGCTGTAAACCTGTATTTGGAAGGTGTACTGAGTGCCTGACTTTTTTACATTTTTTTGAAAAAAAGAGAAAAAGAAACAAGAAAAATTGAAGCAAGAAAAGAAAAGAGAAAAAGAGACAAGAAACAGGAAGAATTGATTTTAAGTGCACAAAGGAAGACAAAGTATTTTATTCTTCTTTATGAAGAAGATGGAGGGGGGTCAAGTAGTGGGTGAGTGTTGAGTGGTTGTAAAAAAACGCCAGCACAGAATGGAATGGGTGTTGTTGTGCGTGTTGAGTGCCTTGAACATCTCCTCTAGAAGGGAGATGTTGAGGGGGGGCAAGTTTTCTTTTTATTTGTTTATCATTTTCTTCTTAGAAGTCGTCCGTAGAAATAAAGAGAAAACAATTTTCCTGACACCGCGATTTCTGCGGACTTCTTTTTATTTCTGAAGTGTATTTTTTTTCAAAATAAAAAGAAGTCCGCAGAAATCGCAGTTATTCTGGATGTTGGTTCCGCGGTATGCAAGCCAAGAAAAAAGGTACTTAAAACTGGGAAATAACCAGGGTTGACAGCATAAAGGCCAGCTGTGGCTCATTGACAAGATCAGTATTCTGCTCCCATACAATCAGTGGAGTAGTGGCAGCACAAGTCTTCCTCCTCCTTCCTCCTGGCCAGTACATCTTTGCTGCTGACTGCTTACCCATGATCATGAAGAAGAATGCCTTTGGTACCCAATCTCACTCAAACAACCATTCAATTTCTAATATTAATTTTCTGTTTCACTAATCAGGCAACATACAGGGTTCAGCAAAGGGATTGTCATCCAATCTGAGGAATGGAGGTGCATTTCACTTTCATTTACTTGACGTAGTAGAAATTCCTTCTATGCAATTTCTAATTTTGCTAATGTTAATTTTCTGTTTCACTAATCAGGCAATGTACAGGGTTCAGCAAAGGGATTGTTGTCCAATCTGAGGAATGGAGGTGTGTTTTGCTTTCATTTACTTGACATAGTAGAAATTCCTTCTATGTGATTTCTAATTTTACTTTATTTAATCTTGCTTGTGGAAAATCAATCAACCAATGCAACAGCTATGGCAAGGGCCCCATCCATGGTCACCAATGAAGGTTTGCTTTCATTGTTTTTTCCCATTATTGTTTTCATAATCAATCACAAAGATTTACACATTCCACACAACAGAGTTTCTTGCTTTTTCCAAGGCCTTGGTGACAGGCCTGGACAAGCTGTGGAAGGGCCAAGAGGAGACCCATCAGCTGCTAATCAACCTGCTAATCACCAAGGTCAATTTGCAGCACAGCATGGAGCAGGATGATGTCACCAACCTGGTGCAAGTCAAAGTTGCCCACATCTACTTCAACATCACAAAGGTCAAGCAAGGCAATGGCAACAAGCTCCAACTTGAATTCATCAAGCAGGTCAAGGAGAAGGAAAAAGTGAAGCTATCAGCCAGCATGAAGAATTGGATCAGCAAGAGCTTCATTCCAGCAGTATGGTTGTTAGTAGTGTTTGGTTTTAGTTGTAGTTACTGAGCTGTTTTCTCTTCAGGTGTGCAAGTGATGGAAGCCAGTCACTGAGTCACTGAAGTTGCTGCTTGCATGTGTGTTTGAAAAGCTGAAGCCAGTGAAGAAGCCAGCTGAGTTCAAGGCAAAAGTGACAGGTACATGACCTTTCATGTGCTTTAACCCATTTATTTACTGACTTCCTGCATGTGCAGTTGATAAACAATTCAGGGATACACTCATTCAGATGGCCTTCAGAATGGCAAACGAGTGGGTGTTTGAGGACCCCTTGCATCCTCCCACTGAGCCCAGCCATTCTAAGTGATTGGTCACATGGTGGAGGGACATGAACCTGGCCAAAGCGTGCTTGGCCAAGCCTGGAAGCAAAGTGGTGAGTCTCTTTAAGTATGTCAACTCACCCCAGGCACATGTGGTACATTAGCACATAACACACACAAACACTTAGTGCATAACACACACAACTTTGTTCTCATCTTTTCTTGCAGGCTGCAAAGAAAAAGGCAAAGAAGAAAGAGTTCAAAGAATGGGATGGTGAACAGGATGGTGAACAGGACAGTGAACAGGACGGTGAATGGGACAGTGAATGGGACAGTGAACAGGACAGCAAACAGGACAGTGAACAGGATGGTGAATGGGACAGCAAATGGGACAGTGAATGGGACAGTGAACAGGACAGTGAAGATGAGAAGCAAGATATGACAACTTTATTCAATGGTATCAAGGTATTTTCCATATCATCATTCCTCTTATGTATTTACTAACATTTGAAGTTGCAGGTGGTGCAAGTGTGATTCATTGGTCGACACTGAGACCACAACATGACCCCAGCCTCCAGCTGATGCTGTTCTTTGTATGAAAAAACAACAAACTACATCTGCATTGACCCAGGAGTGGTTGACTCAAGGGGATGACCAGGCCATGAGTGCTGCAAAGCAACTTGTGTGCCTGGCCAATACGCAGCCCGGCGCCCAGCAGCCTTGCCAAGATCTGGATGAGCTGACTGAGGCTGAGATTGACTTGGTCTGTGAGCACTTGGCCCCTAGGAAGAGCGGGCAGAAGTGGGTGCTGACTGAATGTGCACTTGAACACGCCCAGCAATCACCTGCCCCTGCCTGTGTCAATGATGGTACATCTTTCTTTGCTTCATATCTTGTTGAATTCATTGCTCACAGTTCCTCTGCAATTGTAGTAAATTGTGAATGGTTAGTCTTGCTCACAAGCTCTGGGCTTCCTTGGAACAGCATCATGCATCACCCAGCAGACCTGAAGGTGGTCAACAGGGACAAGCTCCACCAGCGGATTAGCAATCTGCCCACCTGGGCTGTTCCTCCGCCTGCAGCCCTAGAGGCTGTGATCAGATCTGTAACAGGAGCAGACAACTTAGAGTGGGACCCCATGGCAAATGGAACCATTGCACTCAAGTTTGATACAGAGCAAGTCTGGATGGCCCGCCAGAACATCAAGATCTACATCACCTACAGGCCTAGTATGCCAACACCACAGTACATGCATATTCACTAACTCCACATTGTGCAGAGTGATCGAGCAGGGATGGTGGATGGCAGACAGTGGATGGTGGACAGCGATGTATGGCAGCAGCTATGGTGGACAGTGGACAGCAAACAACAGCCAGGCTAGAGGGCAGACCACAACACTTTGCTGTAATGTGTGTATTCAATATATGCAACACCAACAAAATCACCTTCTTCCCACCTTGAAGGCATGGTTGTTGTGGTCATGTCCACCTCACAATGTGCTTCTCTCTCATTCCCACCTCAAGGTGTTCCCAAGGTGGACTTGAAGATGGTGTGTTCGATCTTCTGTCCACCTAGGTGCACCCAAGGTGGACTTGAAGATGGCACATTCCGTCTTCTGTCCACCTAGGTGCACCCAAGGTGGACGGGAGTGATGGAATGTTCCATCTTTTGCCCACCAAGGCGAGCTGGTTCGTCTCTGGGTCACCTTTTTGGGCGGGAAAAGGTGGAATCTGTCTTGGTGGCCAAAACCAGCTTTCGCCCATCTACCATCCTGGCAGTGTAGCATCAACTTCTTCGCCCTGTTTGTGAACGCGACCTACGGCGGGCCGTGTGGCGACAATGGCGCGTGGTGGAACGCGACGGCGCCGACAACGCCCCCCGTTCGCGAGGCGGTCTGCTTCTCCTCTGATGGCCGAGTGCCGTACTACTTTACCTTTGTCAACCCGAGTGGCGAAACGGCGGCGCCCTCTTTCCTCAAGGTGTCCCACTTTGTGCTTGGGACTCCTCCCTCCGACCTCTTCAAAATCCCCTCCACCTGCCCCTGTGCTGGGACCACGCTGGTGTGATGAAAGGGTCCTTTCTCTTTGAGTTCACGATATCTTTTTGCCCCTGAAATGCAATATTTCTTTTTTACCGTTTTGATTGTTTTTCCCTCAAAGAGGATGAGCGCACCACCACTACCACCACCACAGCAGTCACAGCCCCTGTTTGGATACTCGGGCACACCGCCTGCAGGTACTCCCACTTCGCCTTTACCCGGCTTCCCGGGATCATCCCCCCCCAACCCAATCTAAAGATCAGAGCTCTGCATCGGCCCCCGACCACCAGGTAGCGCGGGAGGCAGCGGCAGCGGCTACTCTGCCCCCGGCCAGTCGTCCACGAGCTCGCCCTGGACACAACCGCCTGCACAGCAGCAGCAGACCTGGAACGGCCCTGGCGGCGGCTCCACCCCTTCCGCCTACCCGCCCCAGCCACAGCAGCTACCTGCCCAAGCACAGGGAGGCGCGCCATATCCCGGCCAGCAGCCACCACCGCCGCCGGGCCAGCAGGGCGGCGGCTATCCACAGCAGCCTCAGCAGCAGCAGCCAACGTGGAACGCGGGCCAGCAGGGCGGCGGCTATCCTCCCCAGGGCGGACCCCCTCAACCTCAACCTCAGGCGCCGGGCCAGCAGGGCGGCGGCGGCGGCGGGGCTGATGTGGCCAAGACGAGCTATCCCGCATCGCCGCAGCCGACGTGGCAGGCGCCTGGACCCGGCCCAACCGGCGGGGCGTACCCTGGACCCCAGGGGCAGCAGCAGCCGCCGCACGGTGGCTATCCTCCCCAAGGGCAGCAGCAGCAGCCCGGCGGACCTGGTGGCGGCTGGAACCAGCAGCAGCAGACGCCACAACCGGGCGGCGGCCAGCCCGGTGGTCCCGCCTACCCACAGCAGCCGCAGCAGGGCGGCGGCGGCGGCGGCGGCTATCCTCCCTACGGCGGCGCTTCCTACCCACCTCAGCAGCAGCAGCAGCCCGGCGGACCTGGTGGCGGCTGGAGCCAGCAACAGCAGCAGCCCGCGTACCCACAGCAGCAAGCACAGGGCGGCGGTTATCCGCAGAGCTCAGCGTGGGGAGCGCAGGGCCAGGGCCAGCAGCAGGTTGGCTGGGGTGGCCCGCCGGCCGGAGCGCAGCAGCAGCAGCCGCAGGGCGTGGGCGGTCCTCCCGCGGTGATGATGCCGACGTCGGCCACGGTCTACACCAAGACGACGACCTACGGTGCGGCGGCGCCCGGCCCGGCCTACGGCGGCGCCGGTGGCTACCCTCCGCAGCAGGCGCCCTCCACAGGCGGCCCGTGGGGCGGATTGGCCGCGCCCTCGTCGTCCTCCTTTGCCTCTCTACCGCCCAAGAGCTTCAACGTGACTCAGGGCTGGGTACCTCCCTCCTTGTGTGTGCGTGTGCGTGTGCGTGTGCGTGTGCGTGTGCGTGTGCGTGTGCGTGTGCGTGTGCGTACGATGAGTGTGCGGCCATGTGCCTGACTTGTATTGTTCTCTATAGCTGGCCTATTACGGTCAGCCGTCGCCGGACGAGATGATGATTCTGCGGGAGTGGTTCAATGCGGTCGACCAAGACGGTGCGTGCTACTTACCCATCCCTCTAGTAGGGAGAGCTCCAGCGGTTAGCGTTGCCTCTCACACCACCCGGCTTACGACTCTTAGGAAGCGGAGAAATCGACTCAGAGGAGCTCCAGCGCGCGTTGGCGGCGAGTGGAGACAACTTCGACAAGCAAGCTCGTACGATCCCTCCTGTGCGGCACACACACAACCACACACACCACCCTAATCGCTTCTTCCCATCACATGGTGCAGTGGAGCTGATGGTGTCCATGTTCGACGACACCGGCAGTGGCCAAATCGACATCTCAGGTGCGGCCCATTGTAGCAGTCTCGGCTTTGTTACAATGTCGTCCCGCGTCAGACTTACCTGAACCTTCCCCCCCCCATTGCAGAGTTCATTTCGC